AAAACCATACAAACCTTCTAATAATCTAGCATATCAAAGTGTTAAACCTGAACAAGCTGAACAAAACAAATTAAATGATCAAGATGAATTGGATGAAGAAAACAATTCTGGAGAAGATACTGAAACCAATATATCAGATACAATTGCATGAAAAAGTTAATTACAAGAGTAGGAGCAAATGTTAATTGATGAAGAAACTGCTATGTTAGAAGAAGAAGAAGTAGAACATGAGAATGTTGAAAATATTATGAATAGTAATTTGTTAAGTAATTATACATATCCAGCAATTGACTATAGAGCAAAGTAGGAGTTGAGCAGTCTATTTGGCCTACTTTTCGAAAAACCAAGCTATATGAATTCTGCCAGTTAGCTTTTGATATTATATTGATAATAAATTTACATTGCAATTCTAATAGCTTCATTTATGAAATATTTAATAGAAAATTTACCTGAAGCTTTCAATCTTAACCGTACTATGAATACAGATTATACCCAAAATAAGTAAGGCTATGTAAATAAATAAAATTGTTTCTCATTACTTAGCCAGATAACTTTTTTAGAAAAGTCAACATTTTTTTTATAAAATTTTTTATTCTTGTATAAAAAAAAATTTATAAAATTTTTTATATGATAACATTTTTTGCTAGCTAGCCAGATCCTGTTAGCTTGTCCTATGTAATGAGAAACAATTAATTTAATTTGCATAGCCTAACATGGCTCTGTTTGATCAAATTTAAATTAAATTCAAATATATAGATCTGTTTTTTTTTTTTTTTATTCATATTCTATCGCTACGTATTGGTTTATTTTAAAAGAACACTATTACTATGTATTGGTTTATTTTAAAATTAAATAAATGAACAATTTTATTATAAATATGTACTAGTAATGCTCGTTCTCTGATCAGTGTTTAAAATTAAATTTTAAAAATGTATATGAGTTCAATTTTTTTAAAATTATAGTAAAAAATTTTTTTGTATGCGGAATCTGCATATGCTTAAATAATATTTTTAGGATGATTTTCTGTGTTGCATGAAATGCTGCAGAAATCATGAAATTGAGGGATGGATGCAGAAAGTTGTCATAAATATTGCCATAAAAGAAAGTTATGATGCTAGCTTAACAATTTTAGATTCTTGTTTCTTAAATAAATAAAATAAATAATGATAAATAAAAAAAAAAGTAAAAAGGCTAGTATATGAAGATATAAACTGGCTAACATTAACAAGCTAGGCAATGATGCATATATATATTTTTTATTTCTATTACTATAAAAATATATCATTTGATTTATGCATACATATTAATTAAAATTAATAATTTATATTACATTTCATAATTGTAGTTATTAGACTAAAGAATAAATAATAATAAATTCAAAAGTAAATACTGCAGAAATAGTTGAAAAATTTAAATATTTTAATTTTATTCCCTCTAATCTTTTTTTTTTTTTTTTTTTTTTAGGAAATGTAAAGAAATTTTATACCAAAAGATTACAGAAACTATAAAACATTACAAAAACCTTGTAGAATTTACAATATAGCATAGATAGAATCGACTACTTAGTTATTATCACAAAAAATTATAAATTCTGAATATAGATATTAAACACTATCACTGATTAGTTAATATTGATATAGTATATATAATTATAGTTTTGCATTTTGATTAGTTAATATGATATTTTTCTAGTAAAAAAATTTTTAACTGGAACTACTAGAATACTAGAAAAATCCGAATATCTAGTAGAAGTTCTAGCTTCCAGTGAATAACACTAATCTAGTTAACCTTTTTTTATTTTCTGTTTCTTCTATTATATTACTGCCTAACAAAATTTTTATAACTTAAAACAAGTTTTTTTTTTTGTTAGTAAGCTTAAAGCTTTTAGATTTGTAATAATTTTTATTTTTTTCTATTACTAGATATTAATATCTTTTAATTTAGCATTAGTTAGATTAGGAGAAACCTGGTTTTAACAGTTTGATATCATAGTTCTGGTCTTAATGACTAGTACAACAAGTTATACTTAGGTATTCTTAAAAGTAGCTAGGTAATATTAAGTTTATAAATTAGATAGAATTTTATTCTTTAAGTTCAATATATAATGAGTAGAATACCTATATATTAACAATCTAATAAAGTTTTATGATAAGATTATTAAAGAAAAAAAAAAATTATATAAAAAAAATAAATTAATTTAAAATAATAAAAAATAAAATATAAAATATAAAAGTAGTACTATTATAAGTATAGTAAATATTCAATTTTATTAGCTCATAAAACTCTGAATCATACAATATAAAAAAATTTTTTAAAGTAAACTTTACTATAAAAAACTACTTTGTCAATTGGCAACTTTTAGTTTCACAAAGTAAAGTTTAACTAAAACATTTTATAAGCTTTTTTTACTCCTAAAATATCTATTAAGCAAAAATAATCTCTATTGATCTCCATTATTAAAATCCTTGTTTAGAGAGAAACTTTTAACAAGGCAAGTATAGTAGTAAATATATAAAAATTAAAATTTAACTTGTTAAATAAAAATAAAAATAGAATAAAGTTAAAAGTAATAATTTAGAAAGATATAGTACTGTAATATGAGTATAATATATAACTTAAGATCTTAGTTTATTAAAATAATATTTATTCTATATTATAAAAATTCTAGAACAATTAGCTAATTATATTTATTTTATTTTTTTTTAAGATATAAGTATTAAATTATTAGAAAACTCTCTCTAGTCTAATATCTGTATAGTAGACTACTTAAAATAGATAATAACTAAAGTTGTATATATGCTTGTTGTATACTTTTCATGTAATTATAAATAGTAAGGATTATTAATATATAATCTTATTTACAATACTAATAAAATTCTTTTAGCAATGTAAGCTATCTTTAATAACAAAAAAAAAAAATAAATTGTAAATAAAAATAATTTAATTTGAAGTTTTAAAAATGAAGTTCAGAAGTACTAGTATCTATTTAATACTTGTAAAATCTCTTACTTACTTCTTTCAAAAAATTAAGAGAGTTTTTATTAGAACTAAATAAAGACTTGAGTGCAATAATTCCAGATTTATACATTCTTCTATTACTATCAATTTTTTGTATACTATCTAATCAGAATACTAAAAATACAGAACCAAATTCTCCTTTACTAATCTCTTCAATATTATTTAGTTTATTAAAAGAAATCTATTTAATTACTTTCTCATATGAAATAACTTTAAGTTAAAAGTATTTTAGACAGTTATTAATATTCTTATTTCTATTTGTTCATTCTTAAATTATCTTCTCAGAAGCATATATTTGATACTATACATTATTTGTTATTATTTTCATTACAATATTTATATTTTCTATATTTAGAATCATTTCAAAATTTTAAATAATTAGTTATTTATATAATTTTTAAGCTCTAATACAAATAATCTTTATGTTTACTGACTAAATTAATATGAATAAAAAATTATTTAATGAGTAAATATTTATAAACATGAATTGCAGATTTTAAATACATAAATTAATAAATGATTTTTATACTTACAAACTAGAATAAAAAGATAATTTAACAGATAAATATTTAAAAATATGAATACAAATTTTAAATATATAGATTAATAACAGATAAATAATCTTTATACTTACTAAATTAACTAGCTAACTATTATATATAGCATTTTAAAATATATATTAAAGTTTTTAAATTATTTTAACAACTAATAAAAATTTTAATTTTATTAATAAAGTTAAAACTTAAGCTATACAAATTTGTATTTATTATCTTTTTATCATTCAGCAATCATGTCACAACTTTATTATAAAAAATAAGGAATTCTCTATATATTCAATTTTTATTATTAGTTTAAGCTATTACTTTACAAGTTTGTAACTCATCTAATTACTAAGTAGTACCTATTCATAATCTGCTATATTCAACTATTCTCTCTATAAAAGAGTATAAGTTCTAGATCTAATTTTCAATTACTTCAGCAAAGTATATCAGAAGCATATTATAACTGCTCATTATAACTAATCTTGCTTAAAAAAGACTCAAAAATAAGAAAAGAAGAAAAAAACAAAAACAAATAGAAAGAAAATAGAAAAGAGAGAAGCTTAGATAGAAAAAATCTATTAGCAAAGCTAAAAGATTTCTTCTAAATACTACTCTACTCATAAAAATTATATAAAATACTAATACTATATTCTATATCTCTAATTAATTTGCTCTTAATACTATTAATCTAAAGTAGTTATGATTAGTAATTAGCTTTATTATATGTGCTAGCTCTTTAATTAATAAAACAGATCACCTGTTTTGTTTACATGATTTTTTCTCAAAATAAACAGGTTATATAAATATTAATTCTTTTACAGAAAGTAGCTAAATTCCTACTTTTTCTAAAATAAATTTTGCAAAAAGATTATAATATAAATGTAGAGAGCTATCCAAAGTTTTCAGATTATAGGAAGGACTAAAAGTTAATAGGTGTAAAAACTTTAACTAGAGTAGAAGGATAGTATTACTGCTTAATTCTATCTAAGCAGTTTTAGTAGAGCTTATATTTAGTCTTTGCTTCAGCTATAAGTAAATAAAAAAATACTAAGACTTACTAAAGTCAGT